ATTTTTCCTCATTTTCAGCAATGTGCCGAAGTAAGAAATGGAAAACCTGATCGATGTTTTGATTTCAGAATTAGTAATAGAAAAGCAATCATTCCTGATCAAAACAAAACAAACCCGATCGAAAAAAGCGTTTGTTTTGTTGAAGTTACGGGACTTTTACTCAAAGCACTGCTACATCCAGAATTTAATCATTATGACGCACTCGATAGCAACTTCCATAGTTCTACAGCCAATAATCGTCATACAGAATCAATTCCATTTTAGATGAGCATGAATTTGGTATATAATAAATTTTTATATCATTTGTAGTTTCAGCTCTACCTCCCTGGAAAAATATTATTTCCAGCCGTGTACATCATTCGATAGAGCTCATCGAGCTGATCACGAATAAGAAGGTTTTAGCTTTTGAAAAATAAGTTTTGATAGAAAAGTTTTGGAAATACTAGAAGAGCTTTACATTTGGAAAAATTGTTAGACTGAAAAAATATCAAAAATTTCTTCTGATTTTATTTTGAAACTTCCATACTTACTTTTTCTGATTCAGCGTATGAAACTGACGCTAGAAATGTTGGATCAGAGTTCGATCCTAACAGGATTTCGCTCAAGCTTCTTTAGGATCCTAACAGAATCTTAGAAAATCCTGTGAATTTCGGGTGTATCTGATTTTATAAGGATTCTGTGAAATTTTGTTAGGATCCTAAGAAATTAAAGCGAAATTCCAGTAGGATATGTCGCGGATACTGTAAGGAAACTTACAGGGATTTTATTAGGGAAAAGGCGCTAATAGATGTTGTAAACCTATCTAATTTTGCTGGTAAGGGATGGAACCTTGATTTACACCACATTTGATGCGCCGTTTCACGGGCAACAAGAGTATAAAGCTCTTTTTATGAAATTCCTTTTCGTTGCTGAAAAATTTCATTTTTTCTAAATCAGAGGCGAAAACGTCGTAATTCTGCTCATAATTCTCAACTTTCTCCATCAGAACTTAACTTTTATGTAATAGGAATATCATATAGATCATTCCGAATATGATATTTCTATTGCTCAAAATTTGAGTTCTGATGGAGAAAATCGAGAATTACGAGCAGGATTCCGACGTTTTTGTCTCTGATTTAGAAAAACTGAAATTTTTCAGCAACGAAAAGGAATTTCATAAAAAGGACTTCATACTCTTGTTGTCCGTGAAAAGGCGCATCGCCTGTGGTGTAAATGAAAGTTTCATCTCTTACCAACAAAAATTCGACAGGTTTACAAAATCTGTTCAGGCGTTTTAAGGTATCTCTGAATTTTTAATGACAATATTCTACAGGATCGAATTCTAATCCAATATTTCTAACGTCAGTTTATACGCTGAATCAGAAAAAGTATTCTTGGAGATTTCAAAATGATATAGAAAGAAAATTTTGATATTTTTTTCAGTCGAACAATTTTTCGAAATGTAACGCCCTTCTGGTATTTCCAAAATTTCTCTATTAAAACTCATGTTTGAAAAGCTAGAACCTTGTTATTCTTGATCAGTTCGACAAACTCTATCGAATGATGTATAAATACGACAAAAATAAAATAATGCATGAAATTTAAATTACGTGCACTTTACACATGGAGTTCACTAGCTACAGACGATCTAGACAGATGTACAAAATTCTATTGGATATTCCTGCTTTCCAACAATATATACGCGATGATTTGTTTCGAGAAAATCTTCTGAATCTGATTATAGAAAGATGTATTCAGGCCTCATCTTTGGAATGGGAAAACCGCAGCCTGAACGGCTTCGTTTAGCAAAACTTATGTGAAAAATAGTGGAGCGCTAGTTTTCTTCTATCGATAATACCGTAAGTCTCAATATTATTCATTCAACTTTCGAGAATTTGTGTTCCTCTTATGTGTATAAAACAAACAATGATAGAGACATTTGAATTTCACCATGTTTACGGTAGTTTTTAGCTCAAAATTCTGATGTGGAAGTCTTTTTAAAAAAAATATCAAACTTGAAAGGTGTTCTGCTGTTCCAAAATTAATCATTCAAAATCAAAAATATTCACAGATATACAATTTGGAACTTACTCTATTTAATAGAACCTTTTCCAGATCTGTTTATATAAATGCTCTATGATCAGTTCTTGATTTTTTGGTTTTATACTGTTCAGAAACAATTTCTATCTCAAATATAAAATGAATATTTACCTTTCGTGATGGTGAACGACCATTTCTATAACCATTATTTGTTTTTGAATCATCCGAATGATTTTCTCCATTCATCATTGGTTGTGTTTGACGATCCCTACAAACACAAGTAGAAATTACTCAGTATTATTACAGTGAAAAAAAATATTTTTTAACATTATATTGTCAAGCAAGTAAAAAATATGTAATTAGCATACATGCATTATAAAAACTGCATTACAAGCAGCACATACGCCACAGAATAGTTGATCACGATTAAAAATGAGTGGCATTTTTCGCCAATTAGCCGATAAAAGATGAAAGCGTATGGAAAAGATAAAAGCACTTGCATAACAAAAAATGGTGTAAGTTTTTCAATGATTACACTTCATTGTGAATCTGAATTATATCATTTATCGATTAAACGTAATTGAAAACCATACTGAACATAATTATACTCTTTGATTAGTTCTAACTGAGTATTAAGCATAAGCGAAATGAAATACAAGTGTATAGAGAGAGCCATTCTTTTAGTTCTTTTAGGTTGTCACCAAATATCAGTTCCATCGTGATGTTTGCCGTTTTTAACTAATATTTTAGCTCCTATAGCAGTTTTGTCTTGAAATATGTTCAGTGACATTATTCATAGTTGTGAATTTTAGTAGTGGTAATGTCTTTGATACTTTTAGCTCAAAATGGATGATACGTACTGCTCTCTTTCCCTTTCCTCATCGGGATGACGCTGCAGTTTGTCCTTGATTTTTAAAAAGAGACGGATAAATTTTACGTCACAATTTTTAGTTGTCATGCATACCTCGAAGAGATTTTTTCGATCATGCGCGTCGAGAAACATCTTTAGAGCAATACAGTCAGTCTACACGTGGCTTACAATTCTTTGTCATCACCTATCCAGATTCAGGATCCTATTGGTATTAGGATTTCATAGGATTCCGATTGTAGGGTCCTATGAAATCCTATGACACGACTTCCGTAGAATTCTTGTTACTATAGAACGCTAGCAAAAATCCTATAGAATTCTTATAATAGGAATCTTCACTAGACAAAATCAGCACACTTTCTGTCTATTTCCTACTAGGATCTTACAGAATCCTAACATTTAGGATCCACCTAAGAACTTTCTAACAAGATCCGCTAAAGCTAGGCTCTTACTAGGATTTGGCTTAAGTTTTGCTATAGAAGAACACAGTCATCTACGTATTTTGCAGTAACTCTAGTATAAATACAACTCTACGATAGAAAATAAAAACTTCTTTTAGATTCATATTTTCCCATTGGACATTGTGAGTCACAGAAACTCGCTACCATTCGACGACGTGTGAGTCAGTATTCACCAGTCGACGGCTTATTCCATAACAGGATCCTATAACAGGATCTTGCAAGATTCTACAAGGTTTGTCTACAGGATCCTATAAGAACTTTACAGTAGGCTCTTTTTTACTTTGAGGTTTTCGTACAAAATCCTACAACGTTTTCTAAGGATCTTACAGGATCCTGCAGGAGGATCTTGTAGGATCATACGGTAGGATTGTGTAACCCGTGTATAGACTTCTAACATAGCTCTTTTAAATCGAACATCTTACTAGACATTACAAAGCTAATGCACCAAAATATTGCCTATCACCTACCGGTTACTTTTCTTTTTCACGCTGAAAAAATATCAAAAGTCTTCTAGTTAAAAAATCATCTTTTTTTCCCTAATGAGTGTGTCTACTTACATGTCACTTCCCTTTGTCTTTCTTGTATCTGTTCGACACATTCGAATGAGTACACATATTACTATAACCAACAATGCTACAAATACAATACCAAATACAATGCCAACTATAGCCCATTTCGATGGTTGATCTGAACGATAGTTTTTCATATGGGATTTTATTGTAGAATAAATATTATCTAAAAGACAGTATAACAATCAAAGTTTTACACACAAAATGTTATTTATTATAGTATACGTACCAATTCTTGCTTTTGTTGTTTGTTTTCGAATTTTTTGTTCAGATACTCCCGCTTCATTATACAATTTCACGACAATAATATAATTTGTATCTGGTTGTAAATTTACAATTTCATATTCTGTTTTTAATGGATCGATCAATTGTGGGTCACTAAATGTGCCCATAATTTCTAAATCATTACCACTTTTTGCTATTGCATATAAAATATCTGCTTTTAATATTGGTGCACCACCATCCGATTCAATTGACCATTTAACTAAACATTTTCGATCATCCATACATGATTGTTCTTCAGGTGGAGTGGATAGTAGTTTAAATTGTGGAATTTGACGATCAAGTGTTTTTAAACGTATTGGAGATTTTGCTTGACCAATACCAGCACGTGTTTCAGCCAAAATATTGATGTTATAGGAAGTACTTGGTTGTAAATTATCGATACGAAGAGTTTGAACTTGTTGACCATTCATTGTTTGAACTAGAGACAAAAAAAAATGAAATTTCTCTACATTTTCTTTTTTTGCTATTAATCATTGACTATAATTACCCGGAAATTTTAGTGTTTTTATTGAATCTGGTTGATTGACTCCAATTTGTTCATATTTAACGATATAATTAACTAACGGTAGGCCACCTGTTTCTGGAGGACTTACAACAAGTTCAATAGCATTTGCTAATGGCTTTGCTTCAGTAGGATAAACGGCACGCGGTGGTTCTATATTAAGAAAAGAAGAACATTATAAAACCAAATCATTGTTCATAGATAACAAGATGTTTACCAGCTTTTTGTAATGTAATGGAATGACGGCCAACTTTTGGATTAAGTGCACGACATTCAAAACTCAATCCAAAATCACGTTCATCAGGAGTATACTAAAATTCGATAATAAAAAAAAAGAACAGTAAAACAATTGCATGTCTTCTATAGAGGACGTTGTACTACTGGAGAATGATTATCAAGTTGAATTTTATCCTCAAAAATTGAGTTTTATTACAACGAAAAATCAAATGTCACACTCTTACCGATAGAATCGTTTCCCATAATGTTGATCCAATTTGTTTTGTTGTGATATCATTTACACCGTGATCAATATCCGATGTTAATAATCGACCTTCCGGGTCTTGAACAGTGCGTATCATTTTTATCCATTGAATTACTGGTGCAGGATAAGATTCAAATTGACATTTCATTACAGCTACAAATAATACGTAAATAATAATCACTTAAAATCAGTTGTTGTTTTTTTCAACTGTTCAAACGTACCACGGTAGCCTGGAATCGACGATACAGCTTGAATATTTGGTCCAATATAAAGGGGTGGAACTGAAAAACAAAAAGAAGACTATAATAATCGTATAACATCTCTTTTGAGCTTGTAATACGTACATCTAACAAGAAGACTTGCAATAACAAATGTTGTGTCGGCCAAATTTTTTGCTACACATGAATAATTTCCAAAATGTTCGCGTCTTATTGGATCGAAGCGTAATTCAATTAACTTATATTTTTCAAACTGTGATGTATCAACATTAATTCCATTTATGGACTAGTAGAAAAAGTTAGAATGTAACGTTTTTTAACTAGTTTAACAGGATGAGTTGTGTCAAGTTTCACAGTTCCATGAAAATTCCAGAATTTAACAGAATTCAAAGTATTGCTACTCTTCTCATTAGTGACGGGCCGTCGTGTAGTCGTTAAACGTGAGTATTGGTTGATAGATAGTGAAAGGACAGAAAAGAATAAAAATTACGGTATTGCTATAGTCGTTTATTGTTTGCACGGCATTTCGCTATACTCGAATGTAATGTGGCCTGTTCTGCGCCTAGCGTCTGAATTAGAGCTCGATAACTAATAGAAAGGAGAAAGGAAAGAAAAGGAAATGTTACGTAAGAAATGGGAAAAACAAAATGGCAACTTGACGTCTAAACGAAATGTGAGATTCTTAACGTTAGAAACAAAGTTAGAACAAATGACTACGCTAAAGAAAGGAAATAGCATAAAGCGAACAGAAAGAAAATACATGATTGTTTCGTTAAGGATGATTCACCTACGTCAAGAATTTCGCGCAATATACGTAGCTTCTTCGTTTCGTACGGCAAGAAAAACATTTTCCTTAACGTCGCACGTTATGTTTTTTCTTTTCTTTACTTTTATCTTCATCCGTGATCTATGTAGAGTAGAGTCCGAAAGCCTTTTTTCGGGTTCGGACTTGGGACGGGTTTCAGTTCATTGAACGAAATCCGGATCGGGTTTGTTTTCGATCCCGATTCTTCTAGTCTGATATAGAGGGAGATAAGAGACAATTCTAAATAAATGGAAAAGAATGGAAAATAAGGAAAACGGACAGGTGTTTCGCACTAGACTTACAACCAACCTTGTGAATTTTATTTTTTGTATCTCTTCACTAGAAAAAAATAGTTCGGGTTCGAGACGGGTTTTATTTGAAAAAATCGGGATCGGGTTCGGGACGGGTTTCAGATCTACGAGACCGGATCGAATCGGTTTCGAAAATCTCAAATCCGCAGGACTCTAATGCAGAGTTACGTTGGTTCACACTTAGATTATCTCTATGAATTGACAGATTCTGCTGTAATACTGTCAGATTTCTGGTTCAATTCTATTTAGATTCTGATAGAACTCCAGTTCTAATTCTACCAAAATTCAATCAGATTCTAAACAGAATGTTAGTAACACTATATGTTTGAATGTGTCGAATTCTGCCAGTTCTGGTAATTTTCCTGGAATTGTAGAACTGGTCACTGCTGAATAGGATGAACAACGAGTATACCTGTATAGGTGTATTATTCATATACTGCCATTCTAATGATAAACTTTCAGCTGAGCCTCTTTCGACCCGACATTGAAATACGGCACGATGTGATTCACGATCAGTGAGCTCTATTTCAATTTCTGGTATCGGAGTTAATCTGGGAGGAACTGAAAAAGAATTAATACTATGTTACAGAAATTATGTGGAAGATAAGAGATTTCACTTACCAATAACATTAAGAATATATTCTGTTTTTTGTCCTACTTTATCATAATCGTTACTTGCATGACATGTATATTTTCCATTATCGGTTTCGTCAACATAATTTATTGTCAATTGATTACCACGAACAACAAATTTTGGTACTTCACTTGCACCCACAGGAGAATCCTTAAAAAATATAAATAATCAAACAGTGTTTCTCTCTGTACTCTGCTAGTAAACAAAGTTATTAATTCAAAAAAAAGAGACCTAAACACACACACACAGACATATACACTCGCAGACAATCAGAAGTACCAAAATCAATTTATTAGTACCATTAACCGGGAGTGAAATTTTATAAATTAGGTTGTTCTAGACAGATTTCATCTCGAGAATAGAACGATAACCATGACAAAGGCGTCGGTTGAAGTTTGTCGCTGATCAAAAGCTGGATTATTTCTCGTTTATGTTCTAAACTTTTACTCATATAAACACTAGCATTTCCACACACAAAGGCCATTCGGTTTAAATGGCGAGCTGCGTTTTATTTAAAAGCATTGTTGTGATCAATCTCACTCAGAATATATTAAAATGTTCTCAAAACTTCAGCATATACAGTATCTACCATACTCTATACTCAGTTAATAACAAATTTACGACAGTATTCTACAAAACTTTATGGTTTTTCGAATACGTTTCAAGAATACCCTTCAGTAAAATGAAAATTGTTTTCGAGTATTGATTCTTACGACTACGTGTACCTAAGAATATCATTTATATGGTGAAGTTTTGACATTACTTTAATACATTTTAAGTGAGATATAACTAGGTGACAACATCTTAAGAATTTTGATTTTCCTAATTCCCGATATCCACCAGACTGTCGAACTATTTCTTAGAGGTACACAATTCTAACAGATTCAATGTGACTGGTTACGTATGTTTCATGCAATTGCAAGGTGAGTCCCTCGTAATAGCGCAGCCAGCATTTTTCTGAGCGATGAAACCAAGTTTTATCACCTAATCGGGAAATAATTTTTCTTTAAACAAATTGTTTTTTTCATTCTTTCTTCACAAAAGAGCAGATATCGTTTGATCTGCTTGCTATTTGACTATATTCTTTCCAATGCAAGTTAAGTTTCCAACAAGGGTCCTGGGTCCCATAAACCGTCCTCTTAGATGCTTCACTAGTAACTCGACATCAGTCCTAAGGCTTCAGTATGCTCAAACTACTAAAGAGCTCCCATTTCGAAGAGAACGTACTGGGTTATGTCTCCCTTTAAAAAAAGCACTGTATTACCAGTTTAAGCTGTAGAAAGTTGGATTAGTTTTCTACAGATCTCTTCAAAACTCTAATTTGGAAAAAAGGTTTCTCAACTGACTTTGGAAGGAAAAAAAGACGTTGGATATTTGTAAAATATGCTATTACCTACTAACAGCTCTGATTTTGAAAATTGATGCAGCCAATAGATAGAGCTCGTCGAATTAATTATGTTAACATCGAAAAATTTTCAGATGAACCTATTCACTTGTTCGAGGCGTACTTCGAGTGCTCGAAAATATGCTTTCGATGAGCCCTCGCCAACGACTCAACTCCTTGAAAAATGACACTTCAGACTCTCGATATAAACGTTTGAGGGGTTATCGATTTCGAGCCCTCGAGTTTCAGGCAGGTAGCGAGCCCTGAATAAAAATTCCGAGCCATCGAACAGAGATGTTCGGGACTACCGAGCACTCGCACCCTTGGAAGAGCGAGTACTCGGAAGTCCTGAACATCTCTGTTCGATGGCTCGAAATTTTTATCCAGGGCTCACTACCTCTCTGAAACCCTAGGGGTTCGAAATCGATAACTCCTCGAACGTTTATATCAAGGGTCCGAAATGTCATTTTTAAGGAATCGAGTACTGGGCGCACCCCTCGAAAGACTTTTTCTGTCTGCATGGAAATACTTGATAATGGTTACTAAAAACCGAAACCTCATGTCAGCACTTCTCTAATTCTACAGTTTTGTAAATATAACAGTAATTTCACGTTCAGAGTCGAGTAGGACGTAATTTGTGTCTTTTTTGGGTGTTGGTGAATGTTAGTGACCAGATTTTGCCTGTTAGTAGACGTTATCAAGTATTCATTTGAATATTCTTTGATGTTAGTAGAATCAACTCGATGAGCTATTGGCTGTATCAAGTTTCAAATTGAAACTGTTAGTGGGTGTGAATGTATTTTCTAAATACTCGTCTTCGGATTTTCTCTCTCGGTCGGCGAAAACCATAACTTTTGTATCCATCTTAGTTCAAAAGCTATGTGTGTGTGACGTCCGTATTTGGAAAAGAATTATAACCTTGCGAGCTCGATAAGTACTTGTTAAGATTTCTTTGATATGACCCTCAATCAAAAATAAAACTACTGCACGCGTTAAACACAAACATGCGTCTCGCACACACACACACACACACACATACACACAAAGACTACTTTTAAATGTTCAAAATGAAAAAAAGAATTGAAGTTGATTACTTTTTCTTTTGAAATACGAAAAGAAAGATTTTTTGGAAGTATTACTGTCCCAAGATTAGGAATTTTCAAAAAAAGAAGTCATTAGTCAATTATTTTAGCAGAAAACGTCCTATTGTAGTATCATATATACGAAACAGATGAGCTTGCACATTCTTTTTACCGCTATTATCAAAACGTCTATCTGAAAATGCAACAATATAAAAAGAATTAAGATTAGAAGAGATCAAAAATGGCTTCAATAAGAGTATTTGTAATCGTAAATCATTTCACTGATAGTAATCAACAAAACTGTACCTATCAAGTATTAAAGCACATAGATCCACTGTAGCACAGAATCATGCATCGGCATGGCCAGCTACATCTGCTACTTCACGGAAATTCCGTAACGTTTTTTGTTCATTTTGTTGTGTCGATATATACCAAACCGAACCATGCAGAGAATCGTGAGACGTCTTAAATTGAAGACAAAAGCCGCGCGAATATTTTTAGGTGTATCTGTACTCTAGAAAATGCCTTTTTCTGAAGATTTCAATCAAACATTGAGTACTTGTTTTCAAAAATTCAGATTCTTCAAAATCGAACAGTAGTACCAGGGACACTGCAAAGTACAAGAAGCAGGGAGTTGTTCTCCGATTTCGGAGTAAATCGATGAGACTAATCATCTGATTTGTGTAAAAAAATACGCAAATTTTGACATACTGAGGCCCCGTTAAACTTAAGAGTAAAACATACTGATGCATTGTCATAACCTGAGCAATTAATTAAAACATGAACGTCAAACTTCAGGAGTAATGATATACTCAGCAGGCATAGACGTTTTGATACATAGAGTCCAGCATTTATACCACGGGATTTCGAAGCAAAGTTGATGAAAGAGAGCAAGAAGAATGCAAAGTTTTCAAAATGTGAATCGTAGCAAATTTTCTTAGAAACAGAAAAAAAAAAGAAAATATGATAGTGTTTACTCTTAAATCGAGAAAATTTATAATGAGTAGTCAACGATTACTAATTATGCAGCATCAGATCAGTAGCGTCCCTAAGCAATACTCAGTGTTTTATTGAATCTTCAGAAAGAGGCATTTTCTAAAGTGCAGCTACAGTTTAAAATGTTCACGAGGCTTTTGTCTTCAATTTAAGACGTCTCGCAACTCTCTGAGTAGTTCAGTTTGGTCTATATCGACACAATAAAATGAATAAAAACCGTTACGGAATTCTCTTGCAATAGCAGAGTTAACTAGCTATGCCAACATATACTCTCTCTTCTCAGTAGAGTATATTTTCTAATAAAAAAAAACTTATAACAAAAAATTTAAATCATAAAAACTATGGACTACATTACTGTACGAAAAATTATTCAAATAATAAATTAAAGAAAAACAGAAATAAAATTTTTATTATAGAGCACGCTCTTTGAACACATGCAATATTGATCGAATAATAATAAGACATCACTTCAAAAAAAAATATAAAAATAACACTAAAAAATATTTCAAGATCATCATAATTGAAATAGTAATACTATTTCTTTTATCAGAATCACTTGATTTATTCATGCATGTATTTTAACTCAATTTTTTACTTACTATAACCGCTCGTAATTTATCTGCCTATAAGAACGTTTAGACACTAATTTCTTATAAATATTTTTAAAAAAATAATAATTTATTTGTTTATACAATTATTCGAAACAGTTATTATTTTTAAAGACGACATCATTTTCACTTACGTTTCCATAAAACCATTGATATTTTGTTGCTGGTAAACCTGATGCTTCACAAACTAATGTAGCCGTTTTCTTTTCAATAGCACATGGTGATGAACATTGAATTCTTGGATGTGTAACAGATTCTAAAAGAAAAATGATAAATCAATCGTATTTTTTATTTTTTTTTGTTTGTTTGTTTTCTAGATAATGTATTAACATACCCGATGCAACAACGATAATTTCAAAATCTCTCGATTCTCCTGTTTCTAAAACATCTGCTCGACACCAAAATGTACCATTATCAGCCATATCAACTCTATTTATTCTTAGACCATCACTTGTTTTCTCATAATTTTGACTGGCTACAATATTAAAAATACAATTCAAATGACAATCATATTTTTTAGAACTATATGAATAAAAATTACCAATTCTTGTTTTATCTTGTCCTTTAAACCACGATACTTCAGCAGATGGATTTGCATGTACTCGACATTTAATGGTAACTTGTTGTCCTAATGGAGCATATTGAATTGAATCACCATGAAATGTGATTGGAACTAAAAAAACAAAAAAAAAATAGAAAAAAAATTGTTACTTTAGAGAAAAAAGAATAGTAAAGATAATTTGTTTACCTTTAATATTCATTTGAAATTGTTTTGAATATTTTATACCATCCATATTAGCTCCAACACATTCCCATTTTCCTTGATCTTCAATGGTTAAATTTCGTATCCTTAATCTTAAACCATATGTTTGTCGTTCAATTGTCACTCTGTAAAATAAAATATAGTTTTATTAAGTAAATAAAGATTAATGAATATTTTAAAGAATAATTTTACCTAGCAGCATCATTTTCTGGCACTTCTGTTTGTTGTGGTGTTCTCCAGCTAATGACTTTTGTATCTGATTGTCCGGTACATGATGCAATAAACGATCGGTATTGATCACGTGTCAATAAGGCATCGTTTGGTTTAATAATCAAATCTGACCAAACTGTGTTAAATAACACTAGAAAACAAAATATTAGAGACTCTATAATCTACGCTTCTTATATTCGTCTCGTCAACATTTTCTACATCAAATTGATAACTTCATTTTATTGTGCTTTTAATATCCACTAAAGTGAGACACTAGGAAAACTTTGAAAATATAAAAAAAGGACTATTTTCACATGTACTGAACAATTAAAAATGTATCGCACTCGAATCTGTGTCACTTTTGCCTCCTGCAAGTTTCTTATAAGTTTTGAAAAATGTTTTCTAGAATTCCTATGAATTGGTATCGTAGAAAATCAATAAATTTCTTGCTACTTTTTTTCGAACATTAAGATTTCTAGTACAAACATTTCTTGTTATCCATAAACTTATTTATATATTACCGCTATAGGAAAAATTATGAATATTTTCCTACAAGCTGCAATAAAAATAAACAGTTGACTTTTTCTCGTTCGCGATGCTGTCCCAATAATTGCTCACTATGAAGTACAATTTTTCTAAAAATGCTAGGACATATATCGTTAGATCTTCTATTTAAAAGCGAAGATTTGAATCGAGTTCATGATAATTTTTGAAACTTTTTTTTTTCTATCTCTGATGTTTAGAAAAGTGCATTTCATTCATCAAACATAAAAAAAACATTTTTTTATACTTTTAACTTTGAATGCACGTCAGAAAGTATCAGAAAGATGGCCAAGACCTACTCGCAGACTCAGATCGCTAAAGTCATTGGAGACTCTGCTATGAGAAAAATGTCATATCGACGCTTACGACACTGTAAGTGGGAAATGACTCAATATTTTAATTATAACTTTAGAGGATAATTAATGTGTCTGCATAGTTCTTCGAAAAATTTTGGACATATCGCCTGCTCTGCTGAAAAAGTTTATTTTTTCCTAAGCAATCCCTTAAGCGGGGATTTTACCATTTATATCTTCCTTAACTCTCCCCGTTTGTAGAAGACACTTTGAAGTATATATTCTGCCGCTTTTTTCTCGCTTTACTGGCATCTTTTGGCTGAGAAAAAAATTAATTACTTCGAAAATTCTGTTTAATTTTTCAGTTCGGGACTATTTTTCAAAAAATTCTTGCTCATTCTCTATTTATAATGAAAACTTGGTCCTTGCTTAGATCAAAAGAGACATGTGTGAAGAAATATTCAGTATATAAGAGATAATGTAAAAAATTGCTCGCTTTCCTTTCTCTTATTGGTTAATTAGTGCTAATTAACGTTAATTTATCCTACTCTATTGTTTTAAAGTCCTATTTGTAAAATAAGTATTAAATAAATAATTTCAAGCAATATATCATTTGATAGAGAATTACACGGGCTACAAAACGGGTTGTCTTAAAATTTGTAAAATTCATTTTTGACTGCTCAGTAAGTCTGGTTTTTTGAACGCGTTTTTTTGAAACAAAGACCATGTGAGATTTTCAATGAAACATAAACAGGCTCCAAGATCGCCTGTCTTAGCGCTCGTGAAATTCTCTACCAAATAAGGCTTAAAATTATTCATTGAGTCGTTATTTTACAAATAGGACTTTAAGAAAATAGAGCAACATAAATAAGCGCTAATTACCCAATAAAAGAAAGAAAAGACAAACATGTTTATATATTATCTGGTAGCAAATGTTCTCCACACATTTCTCAATCGATCAAGTTTTATGATGAATGGAGAACAGACAGACATCTCAGAAAATTCAAGATCTGACAAATTCGCTAGTTTTCAATTGAGAGAAAGTTTTTTCACATCACCTTAAGGCTAGTTTCGCACATTGGAGCAAAATTCTGAGTACAAAACTCGGTCAAAATCGAATTTCCAAGTCTCACACAAGAGCGTTTTTCAAAACTTTTGTTGTTTTTGATTTTAAGATTGAAAAATACGAAATTTTAAAATTCTGAATCTCGTGAAAGACTATGGAGTTCGATTCTGACCAACTTTTGTACATAGAATTTTCCTCCAATGTACTTTTTTTCCTTATACAATTTAATGTCTTCTATCGAACTACGCTGGAATCAACTCTTCATATAAAAGCTGCGATTTTATTGAAATTTTAAAAATGGGGCAAAAAAAACCCGACGAAAAGTTAAAAATCTCTTTTAAAGAAGTGCGGAAAAAATGTTTGTCATAATGTCATCGTTTCTCTCAATTTTTCAATGAAGGATAATAGATTAGACTACATATCCATTTAAAACTAAAATTAAGCTTTCTATATATGTTTATCCTAAGTGACTTCTCGATTGTTTTCTTCTAACATCTTCTAATTAGTTTATCTTGTTGAAGTGTCATATGGGTGGGAGTGACATACAACGCCCATAACTGCACCATTATACAAGGCACCAGAAGCAATTCTTGTATTCACTGCACATCTACGTATGATTTATTACTTCTTAAACGTAAAAAAACACGACCAACAATATTATACTTGAAAGGTTAAAGCAGTGTGTGTGTGTGTGTGTATATATATGTTCTCTTGTTTATGTGGTGGTGTCATGTACCTGTATTACATTTAGTAATCGTTAGTTTCTTTCTCTCTTCGACTTTTCTTCTCTTTTTTCCTTTTTTTGGTAAAGTTCAACCTATCATAAATAATGAGAAAACAATTTCTCTGACCATCAGATGTCTGACGACACACACACACACACACACATAGACACCGATAGTAGCAGGGTACCATGTTTTGATTTGTAGTAGGAGGTTACTAAATGGTTTAATTATTATAATGCATCATACAGACTAACGAAATGTTAGACACTGAAATTATTATTGTTCTCCACATAATAAGTTGGTCAAAAAACAAGAAAAAAAAAAGAAGAAAATCATAATTGATATGGTAAATGTCATAGGCACTAAGCTAAATTTTTCCGCACCTACAGCAAGAGATAAAGATTGATTATAGAAAACCTAAGGGATGTTAAAAGCACAATTGTAAATCTAGTTATCAAAAAGTCATTGCCTAAAAGGTTACTGTATATATATATATATATATATGTAAATATCTTTATATGATCGATACTAGTTTATCTGATTGAAAAGACTCTAGTGGATTATTCATCATTAATTTCTAATGGATTTTTATTCATAATGATATAACTTTTTCGAAGAATATCTTATATTGGTAATGAGTTATCTATATAAGTTAATCAAATAAAGGTGTTACTTACTCATCAAGAATAATATATAAATAACACCATTTTGTGACATTAATATAAAAGTAGAAGTATCGACATTGCTATTCTTTGAAATCATAATTATTGATATATATGTGTATATAGCACAGGTGAAAAAGTGAAAGAAAAGAAGGAAGATAAAAGGAAAAGATGTGTAGTACTCTAATGAATCGTAACGATAAGATAATAGATAACGATCAGAGGTTTTATAGTAAATTATCGTTGAACGATGAAATAAAAATTTTTTATGATCATTATTTTGATTCGATTCATTTGAATTATGATAATTATAATAACATTAATATAAAATCCAATCTGAAATAAAAACAAATCGAACATGACATTTTATGTGACATATTAACCGAAAAAAAGGCATATTGAAACAAAAATCATATGACTTGAGTTATTCTATTCATTTTCAAAATTTTGATCGTTGTGATTGTTTTTTTTTTTCTTCTATTTTTAGAGATCTTTTGATATTTCGATTTGATCAGCTAACTCTGCTACCGAAATGAAATTTCGTCATGGATTTTTTGCATTTTGATTCTTTTACAGTTTTCGAATGGCGAGTCGCCCAGAGCTCTAGGATATCTCAAATTAAAGAGAAAAATTTGTTAAAGATTTCGAGATGTTTCTGTACACAATCTTTCGTTTAAAGACTGCGATAAAAAATACAAACACTTACTTTTTCGGGTAAGTCTTGAAAAGTAGTACTTTGTATTTTTTTTTTCTTTTTGAACGAAAGATTATGTAGAGTGTGGAAACATCTTTAATTTAAGATACTCCAAAGCTCTGGACGACTCGCCATTTGAAAACCGCAACAGAATCAAAATGTAACGGAATTTTCACTTCGACAGCAGAGTTAGCTGATCAAGTCGATTGAACTTCGACAACTAGTCTTCAATATCAAGACTTTGCAATTTGTAAATAAATCCCCCCCTCACATTAGAAGCCCATCCCATAATAGAAGCCCAGTCTGGCAAGAAACTTTTTGAGAAAATTTTGCCTTTCTTGCGGGACATGATAGAAGTCCACTGGGCTTCTAATGTAGACGGGGTTTATAAGAATTACTTTAATTACTAAGTACACTCCAATTGTTTGTGGTTATGTTTATCCAAATAATCAATTTTTATTGAAATCTGTAGTTCTATTTGAGTAGCAGCGTAAAAAAAAAAGAAAAAAATATTGTCACTTATGGCTACCTTTCCCATCTATTAAACTCACATAACAATATACTGTTTATTATTCAATAGAAAAAGCGAACATCACGCACAATCATAATTAAAAATCGTTCGTGCTTCAATAATAATCGGAAAGTTAAGTAATTGCCCAACGGACACTTTTCTTTTTCTTATATAAATAAAAATCTCTAGAAAAGACTTACTTCTCATGCCATACTGATTAGAGAAACATCTTTTTGACTTTCTTTTTTTTGTATTTCTATAAAACAAAGTTTAAGAAAAAATTCTTTTTTTTAATAATGAACCTCATGTTTAGATCTTTATCCCACTACAGAATGTCTGTACATATAAAATGACAACCTTTGTTTTTTTTTTACTACTCAATCCTCCGCACATGTATACGGGGATGTTATGATTGTGCCAGAACGAATGAAAAAAAAAAAAGAGCAGAAAAAAAATCTCATTCATATTTTAATGGGGACATGAATGAGAAAAAGATGAAGGAAAACCACATCTTAGTGCTGTTTATGTAACTTTTTCTTCTTTTTTGTTCTCCTTCTCTATATAGAAGATATGTGTCGTTGCTGTTACCACACGTGTTCCACTGACAGTAAAAAACCAGAATAGAAATAAGTCTACTATTGATATGTAAGAGAAATTCGTTAAATAGTGTAAGTATACAAAATGGTACGCGTTCAACTAGCTCAAGAAAAAGTTAGATACATCAGTTAGAAGTGTCGAATTTTTTTGATTGATTCGCACAAAGTAAAGTGTTTTGCAAAAAAAAAAACAAAAAAAACATCAATTTCTCGTGTTGTGTACTAGAAAATGTTCTATATGGTATGAGAATTACAACACGTATTTTTGGGAAACTCACATGTTCTCTATGAATGAGAAGTTATTTATTTTTTAAAGAAAAATTGATATGATTTTGTAATAGCAAGAAAAAAAATATAATTTCTAATATTATACGGTCATACTAATTTCGTAAATATTTCTATGTGATGTCATACTGTTAGAAAAACAGTCCATATCCTTGTTACATCTATTTATATGTTTTGGTTTCTCTTCTATGCTACTTTTCTTCATCAAAATATATCTGTCTTATATGATCTCGGAAATGATCATATCTCTATTTTATTATTATCATCGGTAACAAGAAAAAATTAGAGAAAAAAAAAAGAAAAAAAAATCCAGTACGGAGAAAGGATGAAAAAAAAAGGAGATTCGATCTTTCATTTATTTGTTATATATGTATATATATATATATACGTAATAGTGTACAGTTCTGATGATAGAATAGACCATTTGGCCATACTGATCTAGTCTATGTCATGAAGTAAATAACTTTTTCTTCGTTTTCTTTTTTCTTTTTTTTATAGTTACTCATTGAACAGTTGTCAAACTTCAACAAAACTTTTTTTTTTGTCTTCACCAGACAGGCATAACAGCAGTAACAGTATACAGCAGACCAAGAAAACATCACGTCACCGGAAATGAACAAATACAATCGTCTAGGAATAGATACGAACTCAATAGCTTGTCAAAAATTTGTGATGAAACAGATAAGAGAAGTACAAAAATCAAATCATTATCCAATTTGATAGTAATGATTGGTCACACCCAGCATGTCCAGATAACTCTGTTACCTGGATGAAATTCCGTGACACAATTTAGGCATTTGTTTTCCTCACTAAAGCACGTACAGTACTGTGGAATGTCTAGAATTGTAAAGCAAACGTTTCTCTACAAAATGAGGCGTCTCAGAGTTTCACACGTTTCTTTATTTAAATAATAAACGGTAAATACTAAATGCTACTTTTCCAGAACGAAGCTTGAAAAGAGCGTTTTGTATTTTCCATTTAGCTTTTAAACAAAGATAAGTAGAGATCCTTGAGACACTTCATTTTGTAGAGAAACGTTTGCTTTACAATTCTAGATGTTCTACACCGATGCACATGATGTAGTTTAAAAGATAAGAGTATAATAAAATGTCAAAATTTCGTCACAGAATTTTACTCCGGTAGCAGAGTTATCTGGGGGAACTCCTCTATACAGTGAATTAATTGACATTTTTCATCTTTGCTATGGTAGAAGGTAGAAATAATGAATGAAGAAACGTGAATTTGCATTTTTCAATCTTCCAACAAAAATCCATAATTCAAACAAAATAAGAAATAAAACTTTCGTTTTAAAGATGCTAAAATATCGAGTAAACATTTTCTTTGAAAAATGAGAGATTGCAGACTTTACAGAGTATTTTTCTATTCGCATTCTGTGTTTTGTTTTAATAGTATCCTTCATGGTTAGTCGCCGCACAAAAATCACTGACACCTTACTTCGTAGAAAAACATGTACGTGTACATATTTAGAACCTCAACAAAAATTTTATGCAGTTCAAAGAAGGTATAAAAGATGTTTCTAACATTTTTAGAAAAAAAAAAACACTCCTTTTCAAGAGTAAAATTTTTAGCACATGAACAAATATTCTAGGACATTCAATAAACTTGTTAAAAACCGTTAAAATTAAAATATTCTCACTAGACTTGTCTACACTATTAACTGAACAATAATTATTTAACTCTAAATTGTCCAAATATTTCTTCTCTACTTCTCGAATAGCATGAACTTTTCTAAAGATCTAAAAGAGTCTATATCTCACTTTCATATAAAATTTTCGTTTTTTCTTTTTATTTCCATTATTATCATCACTATAATATTGATTAATTTTTCAAATTTACCATCTGTTTTACTCTATCACATATTTCTACTCGTATATAAATCATAAAAAATAATTTATTAACTTTTCAACTTACTTACTTACTTTTAATTCTAATTCTAAAAGAGAAAAAGAAAAAAAACAACAGCATGAAAATACCTAAACTTGTGCATAATTAAAGAGTTAAAAAATAATTTCTTTTTTTCTCTTCTTCTTCTTCTTCTTTTTATAACTAACGAGCGGAAATACAATGATGATCTGTATGTTTATAATCGTACATTTACCTGTACATTTTGTACATATGCATGGAATCATCGCGTGTTCAACAATTATAGTAGAAGAAGAAGAAGAAGAAGAAGAAAGTGAGTAGAGTATATGAACGTGGTGAATAATGAATTATTGATCAAATCATTCATTGTCATTGTGTGTCGGTATAAAGAGAGAGAGAGAAAGAAAGAATAAAAAGAATAGAATAGGTGGACAATGGTCATATACATGTGAAGAGAGATTATCGTTTCTATTTTTATACTCTGAATAATAATGTACACATTGAAGGACATATCTCTATACATACTTGATATTGTTGAAAGAAAAACACGCCAAGTAATTTGTCAAAAAAAAGTTGCACATTTTAAAAATATCAGTAATACTCAAGCTCATCCAATTAAAAAATAAAAAATAGGGCAATGTTAACGCTCAAATATCCAAAAAATCATATTTTATATCATGGGAAGTTGACCAGATGGGGGGATTTTTACAATACTATTATTCTCTGTCATTCTAATAAATTGGATTAATTATTCAAAAAAAAAGAAGAAAAACGACTGATTTTTTTTCTTCTTCTTTCTTTTGTTTCTAATAACCAAGATGTATATCAAAAATGTTATCCTCATTCATTTTTTAGAGAGGATAAAAAACACAACGTAGAATAATTAATAAAGAAATATAGCAAACGATTATGCTGTGATCATCTTATATATATCTAACAGATAAACTTAAAAAATCTCTATGTTTTTCAATGTAAACAAACTAAACATAGTCAGACATATCTTACCTATTTTACTAATCTTTCATTTTTTTTTTTTTTTTTGTGACGAATAGAATAATAAAATAAACAAACGATCATGATCACATTCAATGAATAGAGAGTACTCTTACATAGAGAACGAGAGAGAACAAAAGAGATGAGATTTAAATAAAAACAATGTGAATGATGATTAGGATGATGCGACACTATCACAAATATATAGACCAAATCTTTCTTTACCTGGGATAAATATAATCATTATATTATTTGAGCTTTCGATCTTTAGATGAAAAAATAAAAGAGTAAAAGAGAAGGAAATGTTATTTGATTGACTGAACAGAAGCAACAATAGTGAATAACTACATTTGAACTAATACCGACATACACACACAGGCATAAGAGTAGAGAGAGAAAAAAGTGAATTTTTTTGGTTTTTTTCTCTTTTCTTGTATGGATTAAAAATAGTCGTTCAACAGCAGGTGTATAGTATGTGTACAGTAATTAATCGCTTATTAATTAATGTATGTATAGATGTATATATATATATATATATCCAAAAAAACAAAAGAGAAAAAAAGAGAGTGAAAGAGAAGAAAATATTCTCAAGTGGAACACTCTGTTATTATGCAATATGACGAACGATAACGGGTTCTAATGGGAATATGATGAAGTTCAATTTATGGGTGATGCTGGCGGCGGCAATGTTTGAACAATGACGACAACGATAATCAATTAGTTTAATGTTTCTTTCTTCTCCACTTCAAAAACACTTTTTTTATTTTTTATCATCATAATATAACAATAAATATTGTTCTCTCAAAATGAAGGTGATATAAATAAGAATGTATGATTCATATTATAGATAGAAAACAAAAAACAACAGATTTATCAACTGTTCATTTCATTTTCTATTATAAACACATGTATCACGTCATGATTCGTCTATCTTCTTTGTTAGTATTCTCAAACACGTAGCACTTAGCAAAGGATACCCTGTCTTCATAAATCACATATTTATTTCCAAGTTTCATAAAATTTAGGAAACTTGGATGTTGAATTTATTAATCCAAAAGTTATATAAAAATGAAAACTTTTATGAAACTTGTAAAAGTTTCATAAATATGTGATTTATAAAGATCGGATAATTCCTTAGCAAGTAAATTGTTACTAACTCGTGGACAATTTCTGTTCAACTCTTCTCACTAATGAAATATGAAAAATAAAACATAAAAATTTAACTTAATTTGAAATCAGAAAAAGAATAAGAATTAAATTCTAGGAAAAACATACAAATTACGTAAAAATCAAACTTATTTGACTTACTAATACTTTTTTTGCAGACAAATCAATTGAACACCCCGAATAACAAAACTCTATATTGTAGAAAGTATCAAGCGTAGAATTTATGATCATCGGGTCATTGGTACTTAACGACAAAACGAAAGAAGAAAAAAAAAAAACAGAATTGGTCAAAAAATTAGTGTTTCCTCTCATATATATCAGTGTATCGGCTATTTTTCAAGTACTTGAATTGAAACTAACCATCTTACAAAATCACATTTTATTCATGACTATACAATTAATTATTAAGAATTTTTGTCCGAAAGCAATTATTCTTGTTATGCTTTAAAAAAAAAAAAAAAATAGTATCAATCTTTTGATCCTACGGGCAAAAAGAAGAAGAAGAAGAAGAGGAAAAAATTCAGCAGAATATGTGATTGAACCCATTTATGTCTGATCGACTGTTTAAGTATACTTAAGCCGGAAGTTGTACATAGTGTATATGTTATCATTGGCATGAGGCGACGAATAGTCTCTCTCTCTCTCTCTCTTTCTCTCTTTCTCATCAAGTGCCAACGTACTCGGATATGCTCACACAAGAAGAAGACGAATTGTTATTATTTATAGAAACGACATACATTAATTCTATCTATGTGGAACTAAAACCCATTGTCCATCAACAAATTTTATCGAAACATTAAAAAAAAAAGAATAAAAAACAACCAAACTAACTGATTATTGTTATGAGATATTTTCGTATTATCGAATACAAAACAAGCAAATGTTGACTCAACATCAGTCAAAAATAACATTAAAATACATAAACATCACACCCTCTAGTTGTTGTCATGACATTGTTATATAATTTGGTATAATTGACTTAAATTGATTCAAATTTATCTATTGTATCGTTCTTTTAAAACTTATGAGTGATGATTCATTTATTTGTGACCTCTTTATTTTCTCTCTTATTGATACTAAGTGAACAGAAGATCTCAAGAAATCATTGAATAATTTGTAGTAACAGTTGTGTTTTTCACTCATGCAACTAACTAATATAGAGTCAATCTTGCCCTTCAGACATTTGTCAAAATCGTCATTTTTTTTTTCCTACAAATTTTTAAGATAACAAGATTTTATTAATATGACTGTTTATTTACTACTGATGGTATTTTGAATGAGTTAGTCTCAGTATTATAAGAAGAAGAAAAAAAAATCCTTTTATCAACATCATGTTCCGCATAATTGAAATAAATCATGCGAAATAAGCATACATACACATGTGCATGTACATGTTTTTGTACTTGTTTTTCACTCTATACTACATGAAGAACATTAACGTTTGTTAAAGTTATTACTCTACTTTCTTCTTCTTATTTGCCATCATATGTAAAGGAAACACAAAAAGGTGAATAGATCGTTGTGGCAGATGTTTGAAGTTATCGTCACATAGACAATGTGGTAGTGATCTCTTCTTCATTCAATAAGATTAGTTAAAGATTGTTAAAAAATAAAGTTTTTATCAATTAAAAGATATTCTTCTCTTTTTCTCATGGATATGTTAAATGTTGACCAATCGATTAGCTAAACGAAACGGAATGAACGTATTTATTTTATCTAGGCGGTAGCGCGGCAATCGGTTGAAGAAGGATTACAAGACACTAATCGTTTCGTTCATATCTCTAATTAGGAAACGACGATTTTTTTTTTCTTCTTCTTCTTTTTGAAACAATAATTGCCTTGTATTGTTTGATAAGTATAATTAACTTAAAGAATTTAATTGCGAGGATAAAAGTCAATAACTGAAAAAAAAATTGTAAGTACCGACATCCACATCTATTCACATCTGTTTAGAAAAATATGTTCTGTTTCTTTCGAATGTAAAAACACAAAATAAATTTGAATGATACTTAGAAATAATTAGAAGATTTTTTTTTTCTGTCTTTTAATCAATACTCATCTTAATTGAGTGATGATTTTTTGAACTTTTGACAGAAGTCTATCATTCACAAATAGTTTTCATACTATCACTTTTTATTTTTCAAAAAATGAAATGAAAAACATCGGGGTAATAAAGTGATACATGTGTTGCATAGTTCAAATCTCATATACACTAATTGTATAAGTGTAAAATAGTGATAAGACATTTTTTTCAAAACAAATTGAATTTATCTGAAGAAAGAGGCGGTACTTTCCAAAAAACTTCAGATTAAAGAGACAGTTATCTATGTGACAATGAATGGGAATTAAAGACTTGCAACAAGGTGTACTATTTCTATAGCATGTTAGAGAACGATGATACGCACACCTGAAGCAGTGACTGTTTCCAAAGTGGAAAGAATGTAAGATTTTAACTGAGACGTTTTGTCAGTTTACTTCTAACATCATCATGTGGCATTTATCTTACAGTTTTACACCTTAAAATCTCCTATTATTAAGAATATTTTGTTGAATTGACGATCTACAGGGTGGCATAAACAAAACTTACCTCCTCTGTATTTATTGGCTTTCTTGTGCATAAATATAATTGAACAGTTTGGCGGTCAGTTCAATTGAGTAGAGTAAAAATTTTTGAACGAAATGAGACGTCTCCGAGCTCTCTACGAGTTTTTGTCATGAAACAGCATTCAATTTACGGAAGGCCCTAAGAGCATATCTTTTTCGTTTTCCCGTGAATTGTCCGAATTTCGATGGTATGGGGCCTTCCGTAAATTGAATGTTGTTTGATGAGAAAAGTTCGTACATAGGTCAGAGACGTCTCATTTTGTCCAGAAATCTTTGCTCTATTCGACTAAACTAATGGTAAAAAAGTTCAATTATATTTGTCCACAAGAAAGTCAATAAACACAGGAGTAAGTTTTTTTGAGCCATCCTGTATAAACCGACGGTCATATTAACATCAGATAGATTCGTGCTCAATTCATATAGATCTTAGGTTGAGATGAACACTGCATTAAATTTACAACACATGAAGCTAAAGTTAACCTCAAGCTAGATAACATTAACT